TGGCTGATCACTGAGCTAAGCAAGATTTCAATAGTAACATATGACAAAAAATACAAACTTCACAGAATTTATTTAGGAAATTCATTAAACAAACAAAGGGCAATAGTAGTAGTGTCAACATGAATAACAAACAGCAATAACAACTAGCCTTGGGGAGGAAGGGAATCTGAAATCAGAGTACCACACTTGCCACATTGTATTATTTTAAATGTCCAGTTTGCAACAATAAAAAAAAACAACAAAAAAAACCAAAAACAAAATGTGAGATACTCAAAGAAACAGAAAAGTATGGTCTGTAGACAGAAAAGTCATTAAATAGAAACTATCCCCAAGGAAGCCTAGACATTTGGACTTACTAGACAAGGGCTTTAAATTAGCTATTACAAAGTTTTTCAAAGAATTAAAACCATGTCTAAAGAACTAAAAGAAATGATGAGAACAAAATCTCATCAAATAGACAGTAGTTATTTAAAAATGAAAAAGTCAAATAGAAATTCTGGAGCTGAAAAGTATAGTAACTGAGTGAAAAAATTTGTAAGAGGGACTTAACAGCAGACTTCAGCTGGCAGAAGAATCAGTAAATTGAACATTGTGCAATTATCAAATCTAAGGGGAAAGAAAATAAATGAAAAATTAATAGAACCTCAGAGACAAAGACAAAGAGAGAATCTTGAAAGCAACAAGATAGAAGCAACTCATTACAAACCAAGCCTCAATAAGATTCAGTTCAGTTCAGTCGCTTTGGCTCTGTCTTTTCATTCTTTCTGGAGTTATTCCTCCACTGATCTCCAGTGGCATATTGGGCACCGACTGACCTGAGGAGTTCATCTTTCTGTGTCCCATCTTTTTGCCTTTTCATACTGTTCATGGGTTTCTCAAGGCAAGAATACTGAAGTGGTTTGCCATTCCCTTCTCCAGTGGACCACATTTTGTCAGAACTCTCCACCATGACCCATCTGTCTTGGGTGGCCCCACACGGCATGGCTTAGTTTCATTGAGTTAGACAAGGCTGTGGTCCATGTGATCAGATTGGCTAGTTTTCTGTGATTGTGGTTTCAGTCTGTCTGCCCTCTGATGCCCTCTCTCAGCACCTATCGTCTTACTTGGGTTTCTCTTACCTTAGACGTGGGGTATCTCTTTATGGCTGCTCCAGCAAAGCGCAGCTGCTGCTCCTTACCTTGGACATGGGGTATCTCCTCTTGGCCGCTGCTCCTGACCTTGGACATGGGGTATCTCCTCTCAATAAGATTAACAGCGAATTTTTCTTTAGTGGGCATAGAAGCAAGAAGACAATGGGAGAAAATATTCAAAGTGCTGAAAGAAAAAGACTGTCAACCAAAAATTCTATATCCAGCAAAGCTATCTTTCAAAATGAAGGGGAGATTAGGACATTCCCAGATAAAAAGTGAGAGAATTTCTTGCCAGCAAGCTTGCTTTACAAGAAATACCAAAGAGTGTCCTTCAGATTGAATTGAAAGGACACTACACAATAACTTGCATCCACATGGAAAAAAAATTAAGTGCACCAGTAATGGCAACTTCATTGGTTAATATACAGTAAGACAGTATAAATATATTTTTTCTTTTTAAACTCTTTTTTTTTCTTCAACCCAATTTTAAAATAATAATTATACAACTTTTGATAGGTTTATATAAAGATGTCATTTGTAAGACAATAGTGTGAAAGGGGAGACTGTACAGGAGCAAGATTTTTGTACATTATTACAATTAAATTGGTATTAAGCCATACTAGATTGTTTTAAGATGTTCATTGTAATCCACAGGACAACCACTAAGAAAATAACCAAAAGCATAATAAAAGAAACAACAAGGTAATTAAAGAGGCACAGTAAAAATATATACCTAACATAAAGAAGGTAGTGATGGAGGACTAGAAAAACAAAAAAGACATAAAACAGAGAAAACAAATAGTAAAACAGCAGACTCAAGTACTACCTTATCATTAATTAAATGTAAATAGATTAAACACTACAGTCAAAAACCAGTGACTGGAAGACTGGATCAAACCTTATGCTATCTACAAGAGACGCATTATAGATTCAAAGGCAGACTGGTTTAGATTATACAGATGGGGTGGGGGGAAAAGCCATGTAAACAGTAACCAAAGAGACCTAGACATAAATAAGGACATTTTATGATGGTAAAAGGTTAATCCACTATGAAGATATAACAATTAAAAACATGTTGTTGCTGTTAGTCACTCAGTCGTGTCCAACTCTTTGTGACCCCATGGACTATAGCCTGGCAGGTTCCTCTGTCCATGGGATTCTCCAGGCAAGAATGCTGGAGTGGGTTGCCATTTCCTTCTCCAAATTATAAATATATAGGTGTATACCTAACCACAGAGCCCTAAAATACATAAAGCAAAAACTGACAGAATTAAAGAGAGAAATAGACAATTCAGTAACAATAGTTGAAGATTTCAACGGAACTTCAATAAAATAACTAGGCAGAAAATCAACTAGGAAATAGAAGACTTGAACAACCAAGTACATACTGAGTATAAACCAAATAAATCTAACAAACATCCATAGAATATTTTATCTAACAACAGCAGAATACACATTCTTATCAAGCAACATGCGGAACATTTTCCAGGATAGACCACCCATTAGGCCATAAAACATGTCTCAGTACATTTGAAAGGACTGAGTATGTTCTCTGATTATAATGAAATAAAATCAGAAATGAATAACAAAAGAAAATTTGTGAAATGAACAAATATTTGGAAATTGACAACACATTCCTAAATAACCAGTGGTTCAAGGGATGAATTCTAAATAAAATTAGGAAACACATTGAGATGAATGAAAACAAATACAAAATACCAAAGGTTCTGGAATACAGCTAAAACCGCGCTTAGCAGGAAATCAGGAGCTGTATACATCTATATTTAAAAAGAAAGAAAATCTCAAATTAATAACTGAAACTTTTACCATAAGAAATGCTGGGGGAAAAGGGCAAATTAGATGCAAGCAAACAAGGAAAGAAATAATAAAGATTAGAACAGAAATAAACTAGAAAGAACAAAAACAAAAAATCAATAAAACCAAGTTTGATTATTTGATAAAAATCAATAAAATTGACAAACTTTTAGCCAGACTAACCAAGAAAAGAGAGAAAAGACTCAAATTACTGAAGTCAGAAATGCAAGAGGATACAGTATGTATAGTGAAGAATTAACCTTATGAAAAACGAGGTTTGGCCTTTGCCCTTGGCTACTGGAACATGATCTCTAGTGTAGTCGCTCAGTCGTGTCTGACTCTTTGCGACCCTGTGGACTGTAGCCCACCAGGCTCCTCTGTCCATGGGATTCTCCAAGCGAGAATACTGGAGTGGGTTGCCATTTCCTTCTCCAGGGGATCTTCCTGACCCAGGGATCAAATCTGGGTCTTCCGCATCACAGGCAGATGCTTTACCCTCTGAGTCACAGCCTTTTGAAAAGTCCTGTCTGATAAGAGTGTCTTTGCTGGGCCTTTTAGCCATATTGTCTTTTTTCCAATCTCCAAAAGAGCTGGAGGTTTGAGGCTTAATAGTTAACCCACCCTCTGGTAAGGACTGGAGACTAACAGTCAGCAGTCATGTGGGCAGTGTGTGATCAAGTCCCATTAAATTCTAGACACTAAAAGCTTAGCTGAGCTTCCCTGGTTGGTAATACTCTGTATTGCCACACAATGTGACTGGGAGAAGGTGATGCTTCCATGACTTCATGGAAAGAGGGTGATCAAAACCTCCACACTTGAACCTCTCCCAAACTCTACTCTGTACATCTCTGCCTCTGGCTCATTTCCACCTGTGTCCTTTTGCCTGTAATAACTCAAGGGTATAATAGCTTTCGGTGAATTCTGTGAGTCCTGTAGAATTGCCAAACCTGATTTTGAAACCACCTCCCACCACACACCCCCACCTCCAATGCCTAAACTTGCAGTTGGTGTTAGAAGTGAGGTCAATTTTGTGAGGCCTGTTCCCTGTAATAGTACTCTTGTTGAAACTCTTCATGGTATTGTTGTTGTTTAGCCTGTAAGTCATGTCTGACTGTCTTGCAACCTCATGGACTATAGCCTGCCAGGCTCCTCTCCCCATGGGATTTCCCAGACAAGAATGCTGAAGTGGGTTGCCATTCCCTTCTTCAGGGGATCTTCCTGACCCAAGGATTGAACCCATGTCTCCTGCATTAGCAGGTGGATTCTTTACCACTGAGCAACTCTTCATATATCACTACTAATCTTACAGAAATAAAAATGAGATTATAAAGGGATACTATGAACAATTGCAGACCCAACTATGAACAATTGCAGACCAACAAATTAGATAACCTAAATGAAATGAATGCATTTATAGAAAGACAAACTGTTAAATGACTCAAGTTAGATAGAGACAATCTGTGTATACCTATAGAAAGTAAAAAGATTGACATAATCATCAAAAAAAAAAAAAAAACTACCCACAAGGAAAACCTGAAGCCTAGACGGCTTCACTGGTGAATTTTATGAAACATTTAAAGAACAAACACAACTCTTACAAATTGTTTCAAAGAACAGAACACCTCCCAACTTGTTCTTTGAAGCCAGAATTAACCTGAAACCAAAATCAGACAGATATCACAAGAGGAGAAAACCACATCCCTTGTAAATATGGACATAAAAATTTTCAACAAAATATGAGCAAACAGAATTCAACAACATTTAAAATGGGTTATATATCATGACGAACTGTGACTTATCTCAGGAGTGCAGGAATTCATAAGTGTGTCAAAATTTAAGAGTCAGTCAAACCACACTGTATTAATAAAATAAAGGTACCAAACCACAAGGTCATCTTAATAGATACATAACAAAGCATTTGCCACAATCCGATGTCCTTCTGATGCTGAAGCTCCAATACTTTGGCCACCTGATGCGAACAGCTGACTCATTGGAAAAGACCCTGATGCTGGGAAAGATTGAAGGCAAGAGGAGACGGGGACGACATGGGTTTCTTTCGAGGGTGATAAAAATGCTTGATATTAGTGATGATAGTTGATAGTTTTCTAAATATACTGAAAACCACTGAAATATAAAGTTTAAAGTTTTATGATATGTGAACTATATCTCAGTAAACCTATTATTTAAACAAATAAGTTGTGTCTTTATACACCAGCAACTAACAGAAAATGATTTTTTATAACTACTATCTATAAGAGTAATAAAAACACCTTGGAATAAATCTAACAAAAGTTTGCAAACTCTGGGAATTTTATAATTTTATAAAGGTTTTAGAAACTTCTATAAAAGTTTTATTTAAAAAACTTAGTCTTTTAGCTTCTCAAGCAGAACTCTTTCTGAGGTGTTTTTTTTAATCACTACAGCGTCACTTTCTAAATTATATTTGAAGTGTTTAGTTAGAATGTGAACTATTTAAAAGTTAATTTCCATGGATAGAAGGTAGGATTTGTATTAAAAAGGAATAGTAAAATGTGATATTGTTATTGTTAACCATTTTATATCATTTATAGCATATTGTCATTGTACAGTGTCAGTACTGTACTAGATCTCTCCAGGTAATGTTAGGGTGGACAGAAATGTGTATGATAACATATTGTTGTTGTTAATTTTGACATAAAATAGAATCCAGTTTAAGTAAATCCAAGGAGAACTTAATTTCTCTAGACTGGTAAATTTGCTCTCAACTTCTCCCACCTGCTGGTAATTCATAATCATATTATATTTCTTTTTCTAGCTATGTTTTTCATTAATGCTGGGGCTTAAAAAAAGGTGAAATCTTTGGTTTAAAACTACTAGTCTCTGATATCAGGGTTCATTTTGCAGATTTGAATTGTATTGGCCAGCTATTTAGTAATCTTTCTAGTCACATAAAACAACAAAAAAACTTACGTCTGAGTATCTGGATGGAAAATAAACTTTACTGAGATAACTTTCCAGCCCATTAAATGAGAATCTAGTGTTTGACCTTTTATTTAGAAAATTGCTATATGCCTTTATTTATTTATTTCATAAATGTAAGGGATTTTCTGGAAGTGCTTTGCTGTTTATCTGCTTGTTCTGTACTATTTTGATTTCATACCCTTTAGATATCTGGATTTGAACTGGATCTTAGAATTCATCTTTACTTACAATGCCACCATCAAATGGAGGTCCAGCTGGATACACCCCACCAGATGGAGGCTGGGGGTGGGCAGTAGTCATTGGAGCTTTCATTTCCATTGGTTTCTCTTGTGCATTTGGCAAATCTATTAGTGTATTTTACAAAGAAATTGGAGAAATATTTAAAGCCAGCTCCAGCGAAGTGTCATGGTTATCTTCCATCGCGTTTGCTGTCATGTACGCTGGAGGTAAGTACCCATGAAGGCTTGCTCTTTTAACTTTCAGTGGGTAGACAGCAATTCTGTATTAAGTACTTTTTGCTCTTGATATCTTTATCAGTAAAAATAATTGAAATGTTAGTTATTGGAGTTATGTGATTAGAATCATATTTTTCATTCTAACAATGAAAGTTACATAGCAACCATGTGCTGTGTTGGGTCAGTTATAATATAAAACAGTGTCATTATAAAGGATAGTTTTCTTTAAAAATACATTTTGTGTTGGCTGCTGGGTATAGATAGGTAATTGGTATTTATACTCTAATCATATATCCTGTAAGCTTGCTAAACTCTTATTTCCAGTAGTTTATTGGTAGATTTCTTTTTCAAAAATTTTAGGTAGACAAACAAATCTTCTGCAAATACTGATAGTTTGGTTTCTTCCTTTTCTTACACCTTTTTTCCTCCTGTCTTTCTGCACTGGCTTGGACCTCCAGTATAATGTTGAAGAAAAGTGGTGATGGTAGGCTTTCTTATTTTGTAGGCCTGTTTTGGTTTTGTTATTGTTTTCTATGAGAAACAATATTTTAGGTAGTTTGTAGTAAATATGCCCTTAAGTCAGAAGTATGATCAGACTTGCTCATATATCTTATCAGTCATGTATGTTTAAATTCCATCTAAAATTTTAAAACAAGGACTTCCCTGGTGGTCGAGTGGCTAAGACTCCATGCTCCCAGTGCAGGGGGCCCAGGTTCAACCCTGGTCAGGGAACTAGACCCCACATGCCACAACTTAAAGAGTTCATATGCTGCAACTAAGACCCAGAGCAACCAAACAAATAAATTAAAATATTAAAAAAAAATCTAAAATAAGCAAACTTGCTACATATATGTGGATAATATCCTAGATAATGAAGGATTCTATAAGCACTTATAATCAGGGTACTTGCAGCCTCTTCTGCCTTAGAAGAGTTAGCTTATGGTCTTTCATACTTCAGTTAAAACCCATCTAACATGTCCTAGGTATATAGAAGATGTATAATCAATACTATATTTTTTTCCATTAAACAAACCTGTGACTCTGAAATAAAGATAGAAAGCAATATTCTTTAGCACTGTCTTCTATCTGTTTATTTTCTGGGATAGCATCCTGTCATATCAGTAATGGCATGAGCAGGTGTGGATGGGAGGGCTGGGCTTCTCCTCTGTATTATTACTAATCTGTTTGTTCTCTCATAGGTCCTATTAGCAGTATCCTGGTGAATAAATATGGCAGTCGCCCTGTCATGATTTTTGGTGGCTGCTTGTCAGGCTGTGGCTTGATTGCAGCTTCCTTCTGTAGCACTGTGATGGAACTTTACATTTGTATCGGAGTTATTGTAGGTGAGTTGTACTAATGCCTTTTCAAGCAATAATTTCTTTGTGGACTATTATAGCATCCATTTGCCAACTCTTTTGAAAAATGAAAGTTCTTTGCTAGAAAATTACCAGGTCACTATGTTTTAGAGCTGTTGATACATTAATTTAATAGTATTAGAAAAGCAAGTCTTTAAAGAAAGTTCAGATTAAGTGTAAAAGTAATCACACTTAATGAGTGATTATTTTTTATTGAATGAATACAGTGAAAGAGAATTCTTTTTCTTTCCTTTTTTTTAATAAAGAAGATTGCAGTGATAGGTAAAAAGTTGTTGAGAGGGAGGTCATTAACTGTTCCCACTCATTCCCCCTTCTGCCTAAGAAGACACTGGCTCAAATTGGAGAAAGAGAGAATGTCAGATACATAGAAAGAGTTTTCTGATAGAAAAGTCAGATACATTTTCAAAGGATAAAGAGCACACATGGGAAAACCCCCTTTCTAATAGCTAAATTAAGAAAACAGAACTGCTGACTATAAATACTATCAAACACCCAGAGGTCTACAGTTCAGAGAAAATTACCATGAATATTTTGATGACGTGGGGGGTGAGGGATAAACTGGGAGATGAGGATTGACATATGCACACTTCTATATGTAAAGAAGATAATTTATAATAATCTGCTGTGCAGCACAGGGAACTCTACTCAATACTGGCACACATGGGAAAGAATCTTAAAAAAAAACAAGAGTAGATGTATGTACATGTATAACTGATTCACTTTGCTATACACCTGGAACTAACACAACATTGTAAATCAACTATATGCCAATAAGATTTGTTTAAAAAACATTTTGATGCCATACCCACAGATTTTTCTATAGTTTTTCTATATGCTTTTTCTACAGTTTTCTATCTTTCTAAAAACAAAACAAAAATTTTTGTTTTAAAAATTCTTCTATACAAAAAGGGATGAGATTTAGAACAAAAAGGGATGAGATTAAGTGAAGTAAGTAAAAAACAAATATCATGATATCACTTATATGTGGAATCTAATTTTTAAAAATTATACAAATGAACTTATTTATAGAAACAGACTTACAGATATTGAAAAAACTTATGGTGACTAAAGGAGAAATGTTGAGGGGTAGGGGATAAATCAGGAGCTTGGGATGAACATACGCACACTACTGTATTTAAGAAAGATAATGAACAAGGACAATAATACAAGGAATTCTACTCAGTACTCTGTGCTAACCTGTAAGAGAAGAAAATCTTGAATGAATATATGTATATGTAAAACTGAATCACTTTGCTATACACCTGAAACTAACAAAAATCAGCTATACTCCAGTAAAGTTAAAATTTTTTTAAAAAGGAATATTGTTGTTCAGTCACTAAGTCGTGTCCAACTCTTTGTGACCCCATGGATTGCAGCTCACCAGGCTTCCCTGTCCTTCACTACTGGAGTTTGTGCAAACTCATGTCCGTTAAGTCAGTGATGCCATCCAACCATCTCATCCTCTGTTGCCCCTTTCTCCTCCTGTCCTCCATCTTTCCCAGCATCAGGGTCTTTTCCAATGAGTTGGCTCTTTGCATCAGGTGGCCAAAGTATTGGAGCATTGGTTTCAGCATCAGTCCTTCCAATGAATATTCAGGATTGGTTTGATATCCTTGCCATCCAATTCTTTGGCACTCAGCTTTCTTTATGGTCCAATTCTCACATCCATACATGACTACTGGGAAAACCATAGCCCTGACTATATGGACCTTTGTCAGCAAAGTGATGTCTCTGCTTTTTGATATGCTGTCTAGGTTTGTCGTAGCTTTCCTTCCAAGAAGTAAGTATCTTTTAATTTCATTGCTGCAGTCACTGTTCCACAGTCATTTTGGAGCCCAAGAAAATAAAATCTGTCACAGTTTCCACTTTTTCCCCTTGTATTTGCTGCAAAGTGATGGGACCAGATGCCATGATCTTAGTTTTTTGAATGTTGGGTTATAAGCCAGCTTTTTTACTCTGGCTGAGCTGAAAGATGAGGTGAAAGACCCTCATCTAGAGGCTCTTAAGTTTCCCTTTGCTTTCTGCCATTAGAGTGGCATCTTCTGCATATCTGAGATTGTTGATATTTCTCCCAGCAATCTTGATTCCATCTTTTGAGTCATCCAGCCCAGGATTTCACATGATGTAAGTTCTGCATAGAAGTTAAATAAGCAGGGTGACAGTATACAGCCTTGACGTACTCCTTTCCCAATTTGGAACCAGTCTGTTGTTCCATGTCAGTTCTAACTGTTGCTTCCTGACCTGCATGTAGGTTTCTCAGGAGGCAGGTCAGGTGGTCTTGTATTCCCATCTCTTTAAGAATTTTCCAGTTTGTTATGATCTACACAGTCAAAGACTTTTAGCATAGTCAATGAAGCAGAAATAGATGTTTTACTGGAATTCCCTTGCTTTCTCTATTATCCAATAAATGTTGGCAATTTGATCTCTGGTTCCTCTGCCTTTTCTAAACCCAGCTTGTACATCTGGAAGTTCTCAGTTCATGTACTGCTGAAGCCTAACTTGAAGGAGTTTGAGTATTATTTTGCTAGCATGTGAAATGAGTGCAACTATACAGTAATTTGAACATTCTTTGGCATTGCCCTTTTTTGGTATTGGAATGAAAACTGACCAGATTATGTGAAATGTTTGTAACAAGTTTTTTTTGCTTAGTAATACATGTACATTAATATGTGCATATTGATAATTAATAATAATTAATGCACATATTAATAGTGTCCCCATTTCAGTAAATATACTTTAGCAGCTATTATTTTTTCACTGGATAGATGTACTATAATTTATTTCACTTTAATTGAAGGACATTTAGATTGTTTGTATTTTCACTCTTAATAAAGTGTATGATAGTGCCTCTGTATGCATCTTTGAAAATGATAATTTTCTTTGGATAAATTTGTAGAAGTGTAATTGCTGGGGGAAGAAAAGGTTTTTGATATAATTGGTCAAGTACTCTTTTAGAAAGGTTTAAACAATTTACAGCCCCACCTGCAGGACCTGAGATAATGCTAATAATAGGTACTATCTTTTTTTTTTTTTTTGGTACTATCTTTTTAGATCTATACTTTTACTACATTAAATTTTTAAACATTTAAATATTTTAATTCATCTGGAATATTTGAATAACACAAAGAAGGAATACAACTTTATTTGTTTCCACAGGGTTATTCAACCTGTTCATTATTTCATGTCATTAATTCACTCAGCAAATATTCATTGAGTCCCTAACTATATGCCAGGCACTGGTCCAAGCTCTGTGGGGAGACCCAATATGACAAGCAAGATTCCTGCTCTTTAGTGGAGGGAATCAGACAATAATCAGGCCAACAAATAAATGAATAAATAAGAAAAATTCAGGTAGTAATAAGTGCTTTGCAAAGATTTAAAACAGAATTTGATAGAGAAGGATCTAAAGGTCCCTAAAGGGAAGGCTTCTGAGATCATGCCTTTTTTTTTTTTTTTTACAATATTCCTTTATTTATTATATAGATGCAAAACCTGCTTTATGTACAATACTTGTATGTTATTTGGTCCTACCAAATAATCTTACCGAGGCATTCTACTGGTAATCTTCCCCCAAAAGATTCAGGTAAAATTAAATATTGTGCACTTCACGACTACCCAAACCTGAGACTTGGCTATTGATTTCAGCTTTGAGGTCATACACACAAATCGAACTAGACACACGCAAGGTTAAGGCGATGAACGTGAGCTGCAGGAAACCACAGGGTTCAGAATTAGGCTGTGTATTTGCTTGAGTTAGACTGGCAACGTGAGCAGCAAAGGCTGTGCGGATCTCAGAGCGCTTTTATTGTAGTGTGAGGGCTTCTGCACACCCACGTGACCGCGTGGCTGGGCCGCTGGCAGCCTGTGGGGCCTGAGGCCCCCTCACCCGGGGCTCACTTCTTCTCGGCCTCTCCTGTTTTGGGTTCTTGCTTCAGTTTGTAATCAGCCAGGGCGGCCTTGACGGCGTCTTCAGCTAGCATGGAGCAGTGCAGCTTCACGGGCGGCAGGCACAGCTCCTTGGCGATGTCTGTGTTTTTGATGGTCAAGGCTTCCTCCACCGTCTTCCCCTTCACCCATTCGGTGGCTAACGAGCTGGAGGCAATGGCAGAACCACAGCCAAATGTTTTAAACCTGGCGTCCACGATCTTCCCCTTTTCATCCACTTGAATCTGTAATTTCATGACGTCACCGCACGCTGGAGCCCCCACCAATCCAGTCCCAACATTTTTAGATGTCTTGTCAAGGGACCCCACGTTCCGGGGATTTTCATAATGATCAACCACCTTCTTGTGATAGAGTCGAGCGGGAGCTGAGAGCTCCCGGGCGGGCAGGCGCAGGGCCCGGAGCAACACGGCTGAGGCCGCCCGCCTCAAACGGGCCACTCCAGCCGCCGCCATCTTGCGGGCTTCGAGATCGTGCTTTTGAGTTGAGTTCTGAATGATAGCCAGGAAAAGTCTTTGTGGAAACCTAGAGTAATAGTTAAACTTTGCACAAATAAGAACAGACTGAAATGAGGGCAGGGAGGTAGGTGTGAGCCAAGTCATAGGACCTCTTAATCCAGAGTGAAAAGTTATGGACAGGCAGTCATTAGAGAGATGGAAATGGACAAGCATCCTAACCTGTTTACCTAGTAGGAAAGCAAGATTGAAGACCACTTAAAAGGTTATCAGCATAGTTACTATCCCAACCCCACTAGCTAAAAAATCCATTTTTCCCCTATTAATTTGAATGTATCTTTTGGTTCTATTTCTGGACTTTCTGCCCACTTTTAGGAATCAGTTATTCAATTTTGAGTAAGTGTTCTGTTCTATTGCTGTAGCTGTACAATATGTTTATTTATTTGTTAGGGTAGGCCCACCAATTATGTATCTTTTGCCAATAGTTCTAATGCATTTGTAATTATGAAATTAGACAAAGAATTTCTATTGTTCTTTTTGTTGCTAAGTGAAAAGAATTGTTTTTAATACTATACATTTTTTAGGGACTTCCCTGGTGATGCAGCGGTTAAGATTCCACACTTCCACTGTAGGGGGCATGGGTTCAATCCCTGTTCAGGGCACTAAGATCCTGCAAGCCACATGGCACACCACATACACACATACACACACACACACACACACACACGTGTGTGTATATAAATCTAGTATTTGCTGCAAAAGAGATTTTGTGTCTGTATTTATTTGATAATAGTCCACTTCATGACTTACTAGTTACAATAGCCTCTCATGATTTTGACCTCTTTCCATGTCAGTTCTTTCCCTAGTTAATCATTTCCAAATACCCTAGTTAGTCATTTCCAAATATGTTTCTGATAGTATGTGATTCTTTTTTCCTCCCCTCTCCCCAGGTCTCGGGCTTGCCTTCAACTTGAATCCAGCTTTGACCATGATTGGCAAGTATTTCTACAAGAAGCGACCGTTAGCAAATGGACTAGCCATGGCAGGCAGCCCTGTGTTCCTCTTTGCCATGGCCCCTCTCAACCAGGCTCTTTTTGCTCTCTTTGGCTGGAGAGGAAGCTTCCTAATTCTGGGGGGCCTCCTACTAAACTGCTGTGTGGCTGGAGCCCTGATGAGACCAATAGGGCCCAAGCCAACCGCTGCAGAGAAAGGGAAGTCTGAAGAATTCCTTCAGGAAGCTGGAAAGTGTGATGCAAAAAAGGGGGCAGGTAATCCAAAGACAGGAGTTAACGGCGGAAACTCCCCGAAGGAGAAACAGTCACTTTCTCAGGCAGTTAACAAACTTTTGGACCTATCCCTGTTCAAGCACAGAGGCTTCCTGCTGTACCTCTTTGGGAATGTGATCATGTCTTTTGCGCTGGCTGCGCCTTTAGTCTTTATTATCAATTACGCCAAGAGTCAACATCACTCTGGTGAGAAGGCTGCTTTCCTTCTTTCCATTCAGGCTTTTGTTGACATGGTATCCAGACCTTGTATGGGATTTGTAGCCAACACAAAGTGGGTAAGACCACGAATTCAGTACTTTTTGGCTGCTTCTATTATCGCGAACGGAGTATGTCATATGCTAGTTCCTTTATCTTCCAGCTACATGGGGTTCTGTGTCTACTCGGGATTCCTTGGATTTGCCTTTGGGTGGTTTGGTGCTGTACTGTTTGAAACACTGATGGACCTTGTGGGAGCCGAGAGATTCTCCAGTGCTGTGGGATTGGTGACCATTGTGGAGTGCTGGCCTATGCTCCTGGGGCCACCAGTTTTAGGTACAGTATGTCTCCCAATTTCTATGGTCCTATTAACATAAAACAGGCAGAGAAGATTGGGAAGGTGATGGAAAGCAGAATCCTAATCGTTTCTGTATTCTGTCCTATAGTGCAAGACTATGATGTCAGACTATTATTGTTCCCACCTTAAAGAAATAGAGGCTTTTGAAAGTGAAATAACTTGCCCAGGATCACACAGCTAAGAAGTGACCCTAAAACCTGAGGTATTATCCTCTCAGTCAGTGCTAAACAGTACATTTAAAAAGTATCATTAATACAAAATACAACGATAATTTGGACCTCTGGATGTGATGCATGTTTTTGAGATTATGCACTCTATAAAGTTAGGAAGGACACATAATGAAAGACCCACTACTGACCTGTCAAAACTTTTCCACCTTCTGTCTTCCATAAGATCTTACAGAAAAACCCAAATGAACTCTTTTGGCCAACACAGTATATCCAAGGAGATTCCAAATCCTATTCGTTTTTGCTTCCTAAATCTCTTTCTAATCTGCTCATTTTTTTCTCCGTCACTGCTGCTCTTATCCTAATCTCCGATCTTCTATCAGTAGCCTTCTAACTTTACCCATATTTGCTCTAGCTGTTCTCCAGTCTCTTAGCACACTCCAGTTGCTTCCTGCATTCTTAGGGTGAAGATCAGATTCCCTGCTGTGGCTGCTGGTTCCTGCATGGCCTGGCCGCCTCTTTCTCCAGCCTCATTTCCTGCCACTCCGTTAGCCCTCTGTGCTTCCCCTCTCACCTGGTGCTTCCTCCTGCCACCTGCCTCAGCACTGGCTGTTCTCTGCCCGGATCCTTTTCCCATCTCCTTTCTCCTAGATTAATTCTTATCCTTCTGTAAGTCTTGGTTAAGTTTACACTTTTAAAAAGCCTTCCTGACCCTCCTTGTTAGCCCCAAACAAACACACCTGCTCTCAAACACACCTGTAGCACTTGTCACAGTCTGTGTGGTTATTGGATTAACATTTCTCTTCTGTACTGAACTGTGGATGTTATCTGCTTTGCTCACCCTTAACTCAGGGCTTAGCAGACCCAGGGCCGTACTGATATATAGAAACTAAGTATTGCTGAGTGAGTGTTGCCCTGCATTGGAAAACCATATGAAATCATATTTGAATTGGTTATTATAGCTTGTATATGTGTCGAGTTTTCCAAAGTTTATTTCTTAATACTAATTTGATGAGTTGCTAATAAATTTTACTATAACAAGGATTAAATAAGTTTCTTTAATATTACACCTCATAAAAACTTGAGTAGAAAAGACTATGATGTGTTGTTTCCAAATTTACTTGACTGTGCAAATGTTAGGGAGGTAGCCTGAAGCAAAGAAGTTATGGGTGCACACCTCAGGGTCAGACTCCCTGGGTTTAAAGCCAATTTGTTTCACTTAAAGCTTTGTGACCTTGGATGACTTCCTTAAAGTTTCTGTACTTCAGTTTTTATGTTATACAGTGGGAATGATGATAGAATCTTCCTGTTGTGAGGTTAGAATGGTGGAAAGTATTGCTGTTAGTTAATGTTTCAGCAGAGGGTGAGTGTTCCCAGGAAGACCCTTTGGGAAATGCTGATGTCAGAAAAAGTGCATTGGCCTGGGAGACTGGAGTTAGCTCTGTGGCCTTGGGCAAGACTCCTAAACCTCTTTTGAGCAAATTTTTCCATTGGATTACTGAGAGAATTGATTCTAGGTGATCTCCAGGACTTTCTCAATTCAAATTTGCCAAGATTTAATTATTTTCAAGTTGCTAAAGATAACAATGTGCAGGGACATCCCAAAATCAGTGTTACATCATAAACAAGAGATCTTATAATTTTGAGCATTTTCTTTTTAGACTAATTTGTCATTTGTGGGTTCTTTGAAAGGATCCTTAACCTTCACTTGGGAAAGGGTATAACTGTTTACCCACATAACTTTGTTTTTTGGACATCCTTAGGTCGTCTCAATGACATATATGGAGACTATAAATACACATACTGGACATGTGGCATAATCCTTATTGTCTCTGGCATCTATCTTTTCATCGGCATGGGCATCAATTACCGACTTGAGGCTAAAGAACAGAAGGCAGAAGAGAAACAGAAAAAGGAAAGTAAAGAGATGGAACCAAAAGAAGTTATTAAAGCTGCTCAGTCTCCAGAATTGAATGGCACAGAAGAAGGACCCAAAGAGGAGAAACTCTGAGGCTGAAATCAGGGATAAACAGAAGCTTTGGACCAAAGATACATGAAAAATGCTACTGAATCATGTTCTACTCTTGGTGCTTACCATGGACAGTGGACACTTGTGTAGAAGTCAGATCAGGTGTTCACTGATGGAACTTTTATTCCTTCCTCGACACCCATCATAATAAATAAGTCACACTTTTTAGGGGCAAGGGACATCTGCAAAAGATGACAGAGGAAATAGCTTTTATTTGAAGTCATATTTATTACGGTATATTTATATACTGTTCATACTCCTTTTATAAAAGTGAAGTTTAATGAATTTTGACAAAGTTCTTTTGTCAAATAACTATCATTCCAATGTAGAACATTTTGAACAACCAAGATAATTCCCTTCTGCTCCTTTGCAGTCAATCCTCTCTCCTTAACTAAATCACCTGATACCTACTTCCCCTATGCCTGCATGTTCAGTAGTGTTGACTCTTTGGGATCCCATGGACTATGTAGCCCACCAGGCTCCTATGTCCATGGGAGTCTCTGGAGTGGGTTGCCATGCCCTCTTCCAGGGGATCTTCTCCACCCAATTCATATCTCTTGCATCTCCTGCATTGACAGGCGATTCTTTACTACTGTGCCACCTGGGAAGCCTGTATGGAATGACATAGTATGTAACTGTGGCATGATAGCATATATTTGATCTTTGTCCTCAGTTCCTGGTATACAGCTCCTAGAACCCTTGGAACCTTGGGAGTGGTAAGAATATCTTTTGCATGCTAATTAAGTGACTGGTGGCTGGAGGCCCCCTTCCTAACTTCAGGATGGGGGCTAGTCTCTAGGAAGGCCAAGGCATGATTAGAAGGCTGGCTCTTTCAGCCCCATCCCCTGACCTCTGGGGAGGGGAGAGGGACTGGAAATTGAGTTCAATTATTAATGTCCAATAAAATAATCGATCACACCTATGTAATGAAACCCCCTAAACTACAGAGAGCTTCCTGGCTGGTGAGTATCTTAAGGTACTGGGAGAGTCGTGTGCCCAGATAAGGCATGGAAGCTCCCTGCCGCTCCTCCCCTCCATATTTTGCCCTGTGACTCTCTTCCATCTGGCTGTTCTGAAATGCATACTTTACAATAAACCACTGGATGTAGGCAAAGTGTTTCCCTGAGTTCAGTGATCCATTCTAGTAAATTTATCAACCTTGACAAAGGAGTCATGGGAACTCCCAATTTATAGCTTTGGTCACGTACAGGTGGCAACCTGGGACTTGAGCATGGAGTCTGAAGTGAAGGCAGTCTTGTGAGACTAAGCCTTTAAATCTGTGGAATCTGATGCTAACTCTGGGTACTTTATGTCAGCATTGAGTTGGACTGTAGGACACCCACTTGGTGTCTGGAGAATTGGCAAAGTGGTTGTTGGTGTGGAAATAATCCACACGTGTGGTGTCAGAAGTGTTTGAGTAAAAACAGTTGGGAGTAGCCTTCTGTGTCTGACGTCACAATAGCATAATGTTTTATGATCCATCCTGTTGCATTTTCCAGTAATTCTTTGCTTTTTATTGTTGAGGAATATTTGTTGTTGTTTTGTTGTTTAGTGGCTAAGACATGTCTGACTCTTTTGTGACCCCATGGACTGTAGCTCTTCGGGCTCCTATATCCATGAGATTTCTCAGACAAGAACACTGGAGTGGGTTGCCATTTCCTCCTGCAGAGGCTCTTTCTGACCCAGGGATTGAACCCGGGTCTCCTGCACTGGCAGGCAGATTCTCTACCATGGAGCCACCCAGGAAGCCCATTTCTTTGTGCAGATGTACCATACTTTGTATATCCATCCACCAGTTGGACATTTGAGCTGTTTCCACTTTTTAGCTGTTACAAGTTAAGATGCTGTAAATATTTACTTAGGGGTCTAGCAGACATATGCTTTCATTTCTCTTGGGTAGATGCCCAGCATTGAAATTGCTGAGTCATGGCAAAAGCATGGTTAACTTTGTAAGAAATCATCACACTATTTTCTCAGTGGCTATACCATTTGCTAATCTCACTAATGATGTATGAAAATTCTAGCTATTCTGTATTCTTGTCAGCACTTGGCATTGATCCTTTTAACTTTCCCTTTCTAGTTGGAATGTAGTGGGTGATATTTCCTTGAACATGAATGATGTTGACCATTTTTTCATATGTTGCCCTCCATACACTTTTAGAGACTTTTTTTTTTTTTTTGGTCGTGCTGTGTGGCATGTGGGATCTTAGGTCCCCAACCAGGGGATGAATCCCTGTGCCTTGCTGTGAAGTGCAGTGCAGAGTCCTAACCACTGGACTGCCAGGGAATTCCAGAGTTTTATTTTTTAAGCTTGACATTTAACAGTCCAAAATATTTAGGTTCCTTTAGTTTTTATCTTTCAAATTCTTTTTTTTTTTTTTTTCAAATTCTTTAGATGACTTTGCTTGGCATATCTGACAGTGAAATGAATAATGTATTTGAACATCCTTAAATGTGTAGAGTATATTTAAGTAGATGGTTGTGAAGTCTCATAGCATGAAAAGATCCTTCTGTTATAAGCATGATGCAGTATTAAGTGAGAAATGCAGAACACAAACTAGATAAGCATANGGGGGGGGGGGGGGGGGTGGGAAGGGAAGGGGAAAACATAAAATTCCAACCATACTTGTGTTGGAATGCTGATTTTTACCCTATATCTGTTTTTCTTAATGGGAATGTGAGTGTTATCTTTTCATCAGTGACAGGAAAAATAGATTTGAAATAGAAGAGTTGTGACAAAAGGAAATTATCTCCTAAGGAAATGAAGTTAATGGTTATTATAAGCCATTGTTTATCGTGAAGAGTGGCATTCCGGTGAAAGGGAGGTGTGTGTGACATGGAAGTCAGGAGCACAGAGCACAAGGACTTCGCTGGTGGGCCAGTGGCTAAGACTCTGTGCTCCCAATGCAGGGGACCTGGGTTCAATCCCTTGCCAGGAGCTAGATCCTACATGCCACAACTAAGAGTTTGTATGCTTCACCTAAAAGATCTTGCATGCTGTAACGAAAGATCCTACATGCTGATCCCTCGTGCCACAACTAAGATCTGCCTCAGCCAAATAAATAGCAATTTTAAAAACAAAAAACATTAAAAAGAGCACAGAGCACAAATGGCCTCAAGGCATGGTTCTCCTGGTCCTGGACAGAGCTGTGGGGTGTAGAGGCCACGGGCCACCTGTGCCAACCATCACTGCCTCCTTCCTGGAGACAGCATTCCTGTGATTCCCCCTCCAGTCACCATTCAGCTGCAAATGACTGTTTAACTCAGGAAGCTAGAGCTGTCAGTGCTCACCCACATCACAGCATTATTGAACATTATCTTAATGAGATCAGCATCAGAGAAAAATATGGTGATGTCATAAAAAGACAGGATGCTATGGGCCAAAGGAGGAAGTCGACCTTTCCACACATCGATTCAACAGATACCATTGACATTTACCTTGTCTGAGTTGTCAGTTCTAAACAAGGTTCTAGGTATTGAAAATTCATTAGGGAGTGAAACTCAGCAGTCTGTGTTCTATGGATCTTACTTTCTGGTAGGGGAAGGCAAACAGTGAACAGCAAGTTGAAAGGGAAACAGCAATTTTCAGAATAGAGCAGTGGGTAAAAGATCATTTATTCATTGATCTAAGCAGCGTGTTTTGAGCATCATCTAAGTACGTATTTGGGGTTCCCTAGTATTTCAGCTGGTAAAGAATCTGCCTGTACTGCAGGAGATTCCTGGGTCAGGAGGATCCCCTGGAGAAGGGAGAGGCTACCCACTCCAGTATTCTTGGGCTTCCCTGGTGACTCAGCTGGTAAAGAATCTGCCTGCAATGCAAGAGACCTGGGTTTGATCCCTGGGCGTGGAAGATCCCCTGGAAGAGAGCCTGGCAACCCACTTCAGCATTCCTGCTTGGAGAATCCCCATGGACCCCATGTGCCTGGTGGGCTGCAGTCCATGGGGTCACAAAGAGTCGGATACAACTGAGGACTAAATACAGCACAGCATGGGTATCTATTTGCTGGATAGAGGGGATAACAAAACAAAATCCAGTTCCTGGCAGCCCCAGCTTCTAGTCTAGTGGGGAAGATGGCTCAGTAAGTGCTGCAATGAGATAGCATATGAAAAAGCAGCTAACTTCCCTTTGGGAGGGCCTAGGAAGCCTAAGAGTATATCAACTCTTGAATCTTATAACAGAAGCATAATATAATTGTTGTGAGGATTAAAGTGCCCAGCACATAGTTTTAGTCATTTTAGTAATGGAATTGGAATCTACTCACACCCTGCAGTGCAGGGAGGGAAGTGTATGTTTTATCATTAACCAGAACAATAATGGAAGAGAACTGCTGGTAACACATGTTCAGTCTATGAAGCCCTTCTTCATGCAGTTTTTTTTCCCCCATTTATTTTTATTACTTGGAGGCTAATTACTTTACAATATTGTAGTGGTTTTTGTCATACATTGACATGAATTAGCCATGGATTTACATGTATTCCCCATCCTGATCCCCCCTCCCACCTCCCTCTCCACCCGATCCCTCTGGGTCGTCCCCGTGCACCAGGTCCGAGCACTTGTCTCATGCATCCAACCTGGGCTGGTGGTCTGTTTCACCCTAGATAATATAATGTTTCGATGCTGTTCTCTTGAAACATCCCACCCCTCCATGCAGTTTATTATCCAACTCCCACAAAACCCCAGGGAGGTAGCTATAAGTAAAACAATACATGCAGTATCTTGGATTAGGTCCTGGAACCAAAAAAAAAAAAGTTAATGGAAAAACTGGTCTGTAGTTTAGTTAATAGGACTGTCCAATGTTAACTTCCTAGTTATGACCAATGTTCCATGATTATGAAAGAAATTAACATCAGAGGAAGGGAAACATGTAAAACTAACTCACTTTGCTGTATACCTGAAACTAACAGAACACTGTGAATCAACTGTACTCTGATATAAAATAAAACTTTTTTAAAAAAATTAAAAAAAAATCTTAGAGCTACGTGAAGAGTATAGGAACTCAATGTGCCAACTTTTCTATGAATTTTAAATTTCAATGAAAAGTGAAGGAAAAAAAGTACACAACACAAC